TATCACAGAGACTTGATTGTTACAATCCCATTTATAGATGAGGGAGGAGCTGAGATTTACAGAGAGGTTAGAAGACTTCCCAAGCTCAGCAAAGCATTTACTCTGGGTTGTTTTCCAGAAATGATAGACTTATAGGAATCAACTTACTCTTATCTTGTCCCACCCCCCAAAAACCACGACTAGGAGGTGCCAGGCAAGACCTGATTGGGACTCAGATTAGGCCCAGAGACTCATTCTCCTCAAGGACTACATGCATGACCCTGAGTCACATTCTATGCAGCCTGGAAGACTCCAACCTCCTCAGCCAACTGCTACTTACCTGGTAAAGGCCTGTAAGCCTCCTCACCCCACCTACTCAGCAGAAAAACTGCATGACAGTCAGAACTGATGTTAGTTATGACTGTGCCTCTGCCAACTAAATGTATATCCCTGGACAAGTCACCTAACTAAATCTCATCTCCTGTAAAATGACAGGTTAATAAGATTAAGTGGAAATAATGCGGTTAAACATTCTTTGTAATTGTAAAGTGCATAAACATGAGCTACTCTTATTGTTAATATCATTACAATCTTTTGAGTTTCATGTTCAGACCTCCTTCCATGTTCTTCCTCCTTCCATCTCTCTCCACCCTCTCCCTAGTCTGGCCACCGCCATGTTTGCCCAAGCTGGGAGCCAAGGGTCCAGTATCTCAGCAAAGAATGGAACACAGTAATTCAAAAGCTGTTTTTCCTCCACATTTTGTAGCAGTTCAGAAGGCAAGTCACAGTTATAAATTGTGTACAGAAAGGACAGCATGTCACCAAAGGGGCCATTACCTCCTTAGAAGTCAAGCAACATAGATTAGAATGAAAATTATTTGGGATCTTCATCAGTCGGCTGAAATTGTTCAAGGCTCAGCAATTCACTGAGGTTTGCCACTGGGTCACTGATTTTAGTAGTGTGTGTGTATGTGTGTGTTTGTGTGTGTGTGTGCGTGCATATGCACATGCTCCATCTTTTGTTGTGGCTCAAAACAGGAAAGAACAAGAGACCATTACAAGTCCTGTGGGCCTGAGATTGCTCCAAAGATCTGGGTCTGGTGACAGCCTGATTTAGTCTAGCAAAGTCCTCCCTGGGGCACAAGGAGGTCTCCACAGGGCAGAAGGCCATGGAGGAAGAAGGCTCCATATGAGACTTCTGAGAAACACCTGCTCAGAACACAGAAAAACTATAGGCAAGGACAGGACAACCTAGAAGCCAGGGACACCTTTAGAGATGAGGCTTCAGATTCAGCACCATGGAGCTCAGTGTACTCACCCCAGGTCTCAATGGAACCTGGAAGCACAAGAGTAGCCATGGCCCTACCTGACCTGGGATCCAGTTGTCCAGTCCTGTGTATTGGACTCCTGGGTCAGGACAGTCATGTAAAAGGAAGAGCAAGAATAAAAGCACACGGTGATCTAGTGCTCACCATGTGCCAGGCACTGTGCTAAGTATTTCACGAGCATTATCTCATTTGATCCTGCAAAACCCCATAGGAACTAAATTCTAGTATTAATATTATCCCCAGTCAATAGATGGGCAAACTGAGGTTCCCACTGATTAACTGCCTTACTTAAGATCACAGAATCCATCATGGGGAAGTCACAATGCATACTCAAGTCTTCCTCTAGAACCACACACTTCACTGAATTCTGCCACTCAGGCCTTTACACAGGCCCTGGCCCAGAGGTTAAAAACTCAAGTTCTGGGGCTGGACTACCTGGTTCAATGCTCCACTCTGCTATTTACTACCTATGCACTTTCACCTCTCTGGACTCTGTTTTTCTAGTTATAAAATGGGTATAATCCACATCATAGGGCTTTGAATGAATCGATATGCAAAGTCCTTCTTAGAGAACATGCAAGTGTTCAGTAAATGAACATCTAAAACTGAGTTGATTTTAAGGAGGTCAAGAAGCCAAACAGGAGCAATGAGGCAACCCAGAGATTAGCAATGGCAAACTGCCACTTACATCCATATGCTCTGGATTGAGGGACCCAGGGGCCTGGTCACCTGGCAGATCTGTTTACTGGGTGCCAGAAACCTAGAATTGCAGCCAGTTCTGGAAATGCTGCCCAAGGCAGAGAAGGAGAAATGCCCTGGCTTCTTCCTCCCAGCTCCCAGCTCCTGCCAGTCTCCCATTGGCTGAGACCAGCTGGAAACTTGCTGACCCAGGGGCTGGAAGATACAGCCTATGAGAGTCAGGCCCTGCCAAGCAGAGCAGTGTGGGGCCAGGGCATGGAGTGAGTCAGAAAATAACAGGCTTGGGATGGGCATGCCCTGTTCTAAGGACAAAATCCAAACTTCTTGGTGTGGCCTGTACAGCCCGGGCTGTGGGGCCCTGCTAACCCTTCCTCTCTACGCTGTGGTACCCCAGAGCCCAGCTCCTGCCTGCCTTGGGGGCTCCATGCGTACCTCTACCTATCCTGTTTCTCCCACTCCTAGTTCTGCTCATCCCTATTCATTCTTCAAGTCTCAGCTTAAATGTGACTTCCTCTGAGGGGCCTGCTCTCTGTTGTCTAGAATAGGACAACCCCTCCCAATAATTTTCAGCTCAGCACTCTCTTTTTTCCCTTCATACCATTTTCACCCTTCACTTTTCCCAAACACCTAGCACAGGGCCTGGTACAGAACAGGCGTCAACGCCTACTTGTTGAGTGAGTAAATGAGTATGCTGACCAGCCTTCATTCACCAGGCCAGATGAATGCTCAGAAGAGCCAGTCACAGGGCCAACTTCCCAGAGGTCCCAGGCCCCTGGGCTCCTCACTGCCTCTTCTAAATGCCCCAAGAGCACAGCTCCACCTTGGGTCACTCAAAAACTGCTGCCACTCCCAAGAAATTCTGGCTGTAGGCCAAGGGCAGGATCACCTGGGTAGGACCTTCCCCCTCAGCTCATTCCACCCCTCACTCCCTCATTCACCACCAACCACTCACCATGGTCCAAAGGAAAACCCCTGGATCCATCACCTCGGGAGTGCCCCAAGGCCTTCTCTCTTTCCTTATATAGAATGTACCCTGGGTCAGCTCGTGGTCAGGATAATTCAGCTTTAGAAGCTACTGGGGTTATTTGAAATCTTTGGGGTTCCTAGGGGTACAGACTAGAGCTCTCAGGGTCCCCGGGGTCTCTTTTCCCATAAAAATGGGAGGAGAGAGCAAGAAGAGAGAAAGGCAGGTGAGGGCAGCTGCCAGCTTACAGAAGAGAAGAAGGGATGGGGAGGGAGAGCACGTGCAGGCCAGGGAAAGTTGGAACAGCCTGTAAGTAGGCCAGAAGGGTCTGGGCTGAGCCTGTGATTAGCACCACTAATCACTTCACCAGCTCAAAATAGGTTCTCTCCTCTGAGACCATCCTCCCAGGGTCAGCCCAAGCTCCTGATTAACCCAGGTTGCTGCTGTTCTGCTGCGAGAGAAAATAACCCATGGGAGGGCTGGAGGCGTCCAGGAATCTGAGGTCCCCAGAGGTCATTTCCCCAGCCTCCCAGCATGCCACCCCCCACCCCAGCACAGGAGCATGCTTCCGGGGTCACCAAGCCTCCTACTCCGTGGTGGGGTGCCCCGCCACCGGGTTAGTTCAGGCCCCCCCCAACACAGCAGAGCCCAGCCAGCAGAGGAGGTAATTGGCAGGGCTTAGAGCCAGCCCCGGGGGGATAGCGATCTGGGAGAATATCCTGTCTTCCAGATGTCACCCTCACTTATCCTCAGGGTGCTGCAACCCCCAGAGTGCTCTCCAGGAGCTATCTCACATCTGCTTCCAGAACAGCATCTTAAGTGATTAAAACCACACAGTCCCTCCGTTCACACTCCTGTCATCTCTCATCTGGCCACCTGTCGGGCCACCAGACCACACAACCGCTTTCCCTTCTCCTCTAAGGACTCTTGTTCAACATGTTGTTTGGAAAGGGGGGCCCATGGGTGCAGAGACCCAGAATTACAGCAGCAGTTAATTGCCCCGGTAGCAGTAGGGCCGAGGCAGGGGACATGTCTGCTCAGAAGCCAACTCAGGTTCTCTGCTGAAGGTCATTAGGAGGAGGCAGCACTTCAATGTCTTCATCCCACAAGGCTACATGGAAGATGACAAGTTGGCTGGCCCGAGCATGGCGCAGCTTCAGATGTAGCAGTGAGCCTCTGCGGGGACCTCAGGGCACACTCCTGTCTCTGAGCGCCATCTTCACCTGACAGGCACTATTAATTGGCAGCTGTGAGAATGCAATGGAAGGACCATTTCCAAAGACATGTTCCTTAACCTGGAAGCCCCACACACCCTCCTGCCACTTAGCCCTATCCTGCCTGGACTTCAGGGCCCATGTCCAGCCCCACCCTCTCCACAGACCCTGTCCTGACTATACTACACAAGCCTACAGGGCCATTTATCCACCAGGAAGTAGGCTGTGTCTTTAAAAATGTGGGTAGGGGAGCTAGTTATGTGCTGGAGAAATGGCAGACAGTGTCAAGCAAGCTTAGGGCAAGGACCAAACGGAGTGTCCGAATTGCCTCTGCCCCAAAGAGGTGATAAGTACATGGCCCAGGCCTTCAGTGGGAGTGGGGGTTGATGCCTCTAATGTGCAGCTGGGGAATAGGGATGTGGGAAAGTGGTACAGGCAGGCCCATGGTCCCAAAGGAGCCATCCACAGGCAGGTTACAAAATTCCTACAGGCCAATAAAGGAAGAGCCAGTAGGATGCCTAGGGACTGCAGGGAGCTGTTTTATGAGGCCCTTTGGAGTGGGCCGCCCAAAAACCAGGCCTAGAGGAATGGCCAGGGCAAAAGAGTAGGCAACAGAACCACTTCCGCCTCTGCTTCTGTGGCCCCAGGTGACATCATGCTCTGAACCCTTAAAGGATATGCAGAGGAGATGTGAAAGAGCCCAAAATGGGGTGGGCTAGAAATTGACAGGCCAGAAGACCCCAAGGTCAGGCAGAGTGGATCCTGGCCATGGACAAGAGCCAATGCCCTCTATCCCCTTCTCCCACCCCACCCCAGGGAGCTTGGACAGAGAGCATCAGCCATGAAGTCCTACCCATCTCCTCGGGTGACACCGCCAGCCACAGAGCCTGTATCGGCATACACCCAGAGCTAGAGGCAACTGCTTCCCAGTCCCACCCAGGCAAGGTGCAAGAATGTCCTGGCAGCTCCTCAGATGGCCGGCAGCAAGTGTGTGCCTGGGGGGGTCCACAAGGGCTGGCTGCTCTATCTAGCTAAGCCTCCATCTCCCATGGCCTTCACGCAGCAGCGTGACTCTTGCTCCCTGAGATCATTGTGGGGAGGCTGGCCAGGCCAGCTGCTGCTAGTTCACAATAGGGTTCATGCTCCTGTTCATGCTCCTCTAATAGCTCTAACAATTGCTTCAGCCAGAGAACAATGAAGCGACTGACTGTCAGCTAGCTGCCCCAGGGCATACTGCACAACCATGGGGCACAGGCATGTGTTTTTGCAGACACATACAACAACACACACACACACACAATGTGTAATATAGGTCCCTGCCCTATTCCACAGCCACAACTCCTACCAATGTCTCTCCACACACTCGACAATATGTACCCTGCTGACCAGCTCTAATTTCTAGATAATCCATCCTGATTGTTTTAGGAATTTTGGTTTCCCTGTGCACTTTATGCCCAATATAAGAATATCCTTTCAGAATGCAGCATCCCTTCCACAATGGCCCCAGTTTATAGATGAGTAAATTGGATCAGGAAGCTCGTCCAAAACCACAAAAGCCTTTATGTAACCAAGCAAATATGAACGGTCCAAGCCATTCATCTCTGAGGCATGGCAGGGAGCAGAGGGTGCCTAACATTGAATACTGTGTAAGATCCTAAGAGCTACGTCACAAATAGTGTCCAGTGTTCTTGTAAATGCAGACACAAACACACAAAATTACACTTTTCTCTAAGGAGGAAAAGTGGTAAAATTAAGTCTGTCTGGAAGGTCTGGAACACTTTCAGGGAGCAGGTGCCATTGGACCTTAGTCCAATGTGGGGAGGGCCAGTGTGCAGGAAGGACTTCCAATGCACCAAACATGGTGGCAGATGCTTCACAGAGAGCCTTAGTGCAGCAGTCCTCAATGTTTTTGGCACCAGGTTTGATGGAAGACCATTTTTCCATGGACCAGGGTTAGGGGCTGGATGGTTTGGGGATCAAACTGTTCCACTTCAGATCATCAGGCATTAGTTAGATTCTCATAAGAAACGTGCAATCTAGATCTCTCATATGTGTAGTTCACAATAGGGTTCATGCTCCTATGAGAATCTAATGCCGCTGATGATCTCACAGGAGGCAGAGCTCAGGCAGTAATGCGAGTGCCGGGAGTGTGTTTAAATACAGATGAAGCTTTGCTTGCCCTTGCTCACCTCTTGCTGTGCAGCCCGGTTCCTAACAGGCCATGGACCAGTACCTATCCATGGCCCTGAGGTTGAGGACCTTTACCTTAGCGAATCTTCATGTCCATCCTGTGAGGTGGGTGCTTTCCTCATTTCCACTTCACAGATGAAGACAGGAAGCCTTAGGGTATGTGACCCAAGTGATATTGCTAGAAGGAGTAGAACAGGATTTAAACCTAGTCCGGGTGACTCCAGGGCCAGCACTCTCAGTTGCCACGTTGTGTTGCATCTCAGAATGGGAAGCAAAAGCATAGGCAGGAACAGCTGCCAGGTGGGAAACATGGGGAACGGTCTTGAGGCAGGGGCATGGCATGTGCAAAGGCAAAGAGTGGTGACATCATGGTGGCCTTGGGGACCTACAAGCAGGCCAAGCATGACAAGGGCAGAAATTGTCACTCAAGAGGCAGGTGGCATCAGGTGATGGGGGCCTTGCAGGCCAGGAAATCTGGACTCAGACCTGTAGGTAATAGAGAGGAATTTAAGGAATTTAAGCAGGCAAAAAACATGATAAATTTTGCATCTTGGCAAGATCAGCTCTGGATTAACAGCAGGCAAGGTTAGAAACAGGGAAATTAATTAAGAGCTTATGAACAGGAACAAAGATATTTACTCCACAATCAGATATAGGGAAAGAGAGTAATGTGTGGGAGTCCAATGTAACTCCTAGGGACTGGCCCACAGAAGGAGGGGCAAGTTGAAGGCGGGCAATAAAATGAGTCCAGGTTGCGTGGGAGGAGAAGCGTTCAGGAGACGCTATCTAGTGGGAAGTTCAATATAAGGTGTGTGGTACAGGAGAGAGCTCTGGCCAGGACAGATGTGTATGAATGGGTAGATGTTAAGTCATGGACAACCTTGGTCCGGTGCAGGAAGAATGAGAAGAAATGGAAAGAGGACCCTAGGAAAGGAAGCTGAGAGATTACAGATGTGTAAGTTCTGGGCAGAAGAAGAGGAAGCAACAAAGACATTGGGAGATGCTGGTCAGGGAGCTCAGGAGAGAACCAAGGCAGAGAAATGGCTCAGGTCTACAGGGTTTTAAGAGAAGAGAAATGGCAGATTGATCAATGCCTCAGAAAAGTAAGGTGAGGTGTGGGCTGCAAATTGACACATTAGGCATCACTAGGGGCTTTTGTCATTAGAATAGTAGCTTAAGGAGAGAACAAGAAATAAAGATGAAGATGATGATCTTCAAGGAACTGTCTTCAAAAGGAAGAACAAGATGTTGCTAGCATGGTTGAAGGAGAGATATTTTTATGTAAGTTGATTTTTTAATTACTTAATGATGGATACATGTGATAGAATACATGTAAAGTACCCATTAATGCTTCACTTAACCTAAGAGCTCCACTTAATCTAAGAACCAGAACATTGCCAGTACAGCAGTACCATACTCTATCACCTCCCTTGTAACTGTCCTCCAGGAAGAGCTTTTGAAGATGGACTGAACTGAAGCATGTTCAAGGACTATGAGGAAGGAACAACAGAGTGGGAAGATCTTGTGGAGTCCCTGAAGGAAGACGAATGGGATAGACTGTGAGTACAGGAGAGAAGAGTGAACAGAAAAATTATTCCTTGCCCTGAGCCAGAAGGAGAGGGGTGAGAGTTGATGTACATTTGGATAAGTTGAGAGAGAATAAGGATAGGAAGCTGGGACAGAACTTTACAGATGATCCCCATCTGTTCTTCGATAGGATGATGAAGAAGGAGAAGGAGAAGAAGAAGAAGAAGATAAATGAGGCAGTAATGATGTTAGGACCTTGAGGGGAATAAGCTGACCAGAGACACATAATGGATTCTTGCCAAGCAGAACCAAGAGCCTACCCAATGGATCTGTAGTGGCTCCTTTCAGCCAATTACATGATCTCCTCCAGTGGTTCTCCACAAACCCAGTGAGTAGAGGAACTGACATAGCTGGATGGATCCAATGTGCACAACTTGGGTGGGTCTAGTCCAGATAGAACAAATCCAGATTGATAAAGCAGCTTGTAAAAATTGGGTTGGAGGACACACCCTAGGATATTGGCTACCTAGAGAAGAATAGGAAAGGAGATGGGGCTGGCCTGTGGGCAAGGGAAGTGTCAAGGAAAGTGTACCTCTAAATGAGGTGAGAGAACAGATGACACAGTAAAGCACTGAGGTAAGTGTCAAATGAGCGCTGTAAAGTGCTAACTGAGTTTGCATCTGGCTGTGACATCTATCAGCTATGTGGCCTTGGGTAGATTTTTAACATCTTTGAACCCCCCACGATCTTATTCATAACAATTCCTCTCTTAAGGCATTGTCACCCTAAGCTCAAAGGAGAGAGCTGTGAAAGTTCATTGTAAGCTGTGTGCAAATGTCAGCAGTGATGAATCAGGCAAGGAGGTCAAGACAGTCTTCAGGTTTCCAGCAGGACTGGGACTCAGTAAGTCATTCCTCCCCGTCATTTGTGTGGCTGTTTTTCCCTTACTCTGCCCTTGTCCTTCCCGAATCTCATTTGGTTGGTTTCTGACCAATCTCTAAAACCTACTCAAGTCAATTTGAATTCTAATCTGATCCTCCAAGGTGCCCCTCCAGCCTCAGCTGGGTGTCATCTATGAAATTAATGAGCGTGCTCTCTGTTTCATCATCTAGTTCATTGCTGGAAATGTTAAATAGCTCAGGGCTCCAGACTTTGAATTGCTCCAAATGGCCTCTCACAAGTCTCCAGTTTTTTTGTTGTTTGGAGACATACAGAGGGAAACCAAGCACTTGCTCTCCCGAATTTTAGCCCAAACCCCACCACCACCACCATTCTCACCTGCAAATGTGGCCTTTCCATGAGGCGCCAGAAAAAGACATCTATAGTTTTCAATCAAAATAAGGCTCTCTGCCCTTCCCTGAAGATCATACCACTTCTACCTCCTGAAGCATTCTTTAGGAGACCCTGGACTTACTGCCTTGACTGTGGCTCCTGCCAGTGCCCCTGCCTTAGGGGCCTCTGAGCCATCATCCACTCAGTCCATGATGTTTAGTGTATGTCTTAGTCCATCTGGGCTGCTATGACAAAATACTTTCCACTGCACAATTTATAAACAACAGAAATGTATCGCTCATAGTTCTGGAGGCTGGGAAATCCAAGATTAAAGTGCTGATAGATTGGGTTCCTGAGGAAGGCCTCTATAGATGATGCCTTCTATGTGTCCTCACATGGCTGAAGAGGCAAATAGCTCCCTCGGGCCTCTTTTACAAGGACGCTAATCCCATTCATGATGACAGAGCCCTCATGACCTAATCACATCCCAAAGGCTCCACTTCTTGATACTATTGCACTGGGGATAAGGTTTTGACATACAAATTTTGGGGAACAACAAGCGCTCAGACCACAGTAGTGTATTAGCAATAATTTACCACTGAGGAAGAATTCTTGGGGCACCCCTTGGGAATGTGTTGAACATAATCCAGTCCCACTGATCTGCCTCCACTCTGCCAATTCTAAGATCCAGGTCCTGATGACAGTACACTTCTCCCACGCCCTGGCATCCCTCTTTCCTCAACCTTCCTCTACGTGATTCTTGAAGGACAACACCCAGGATTCATTCATTTTTTATAGGCTACCTATGAAGTGCCAGCCTCAGTCATTTGTGCACAGCCATTAACAAAGCAAACATGATCTCCTCTGTCCCTATGAATACTGCAGTCCAAACTCTGTCCTGCTCTCTGTCTCCCCTGATGTCTCAAAATAGTCATTTTCCACACACCCCCAACCCCCTGGATCCTATTTGACATATCCTACACTGATTCTTCCCCTACATGTTTGGTGAAAGTCACCTTCCACAGTTGATCTTCTGTCCAAATTCTGGCTCCTAGCTCATGTTCAATTTTCTACATCATCTTTGTCACCTTTTTTGTCCCTTTGTATGTCTCACCATCTCTCTATCCTGTGCCTAAGCAGGCATTCCTTCTTTCATAGCTGCTATCCTCTGTAGGTAAGTTGAGCCCTAACCAACCCTACTTCTACTTTCTCCTCTATCCCCTTCTTGCCCACCTTCTGCTAATGGGTTGGCCAACATGAACGTACATTTGCAAAGCAACTACTTTGGACCTTTTGTCTTTGGCCCCACAGGGATCTGGCTTTGGCAATTTTCTAATTGGGAAGGAGGTTTGCCATCAACATCTAGTACTTTCCTGCCTCATACCTAGACAGATCCAGGTTTCTTCTGGGGGAGGTTGGTGAGCACACCCCAGAATTCCCTTCATGAGGAATGAGACCCTGTGACCTTGGGGTTTTTTTGCTCGTCCATCACTCAACAGTCCTCGCTATAGCTGTGCCTGACACAGTGCTAGGCACCAGGAATCCACAGATGATTAAGACACACTATATTGTGTGAGAGTAAAAGAAAGGAATTCTTTTATTTTTCAACTGAGGATGTTGGAATGTTTCATAGAGTTGACATGCACAGACACAAAAACAAATGGAGAAAGTATAAGCAATGACACTAGTTTTAACTTAGCAATCTGTCACCTCCACAGCGAAATATTTTTTAGCTACCCTGGTGGCCTCACTGAGCAGCTGAGACACGTGTGTGTGTGAAATGTCTGACACAGTTGACTCCATCTTGCTTCTAACCTCCAAGCTGTCCTTGGTCATTTCTGGGCATAGGGCAAGCTAACTTGGGGAGGAATTTAGTCTACACTTTAACCTTAAAGCAAGGATAATAATAGCCCTTCCCAAAACTAAATCACCTTTGTAAAACTAATGAAAGGCCACACGTTAGAATTATGAGAGGGGCTTGAATTCTACTAAGATGTAGGCATAGTTAAGCAATAATCAACCATTGTTCCAAAGGTCTGTACTTCCCCAATTATTCCTGTAGATAACATCACTATTGTAGAATCTAAGACTAGCCTTTTGAGATATTTGTTCAGACTTTTGCATTTCTGACAACCTGCTGACTCCACTCAGATCTGTGACTCATGACTCAATGGGTCCACTTGCGTGATCCCATCCAGGCTCTAACTCCATGCACAAGACCCACTTTCTATACACTTATTATTTCATCTCCAACCAATCAACATTCTCCACTCCCTAGCCTCCTTTTCACCAAACTATTCTTGAAAAACTCTAACTTTTGAGGAGACTGATTTGAGTCTCCATCTCCTCTGTGGCCAGCCTCATGTTAGTAATACTCTTTCTCTACCACAATAGCACAATTCCAGTGGATTGGTGTTGTCTGTTCAGGGGGCAGGAAAAACCCATCGGGTGATTACACAAGTGTCTGTCAGCCATGGACAAAGGGGTTTGTGTGAGAGTTTCCTCTTAAACATAGAAAAGCCAAAGAGGGAAGAACTCAAAGGGTAAAGAGCAACCTCAGAGACCTCTGCTGTTCCAAACTTCAGCACCTTCCTCTCTGTTTTGCCCCCATCTAACCAAGAGCCTAATGGAGACCTCGTCAGTTCCACCTTCTAAGCACCTCCTACGTCTTCTCTCTACATTACTGTCACTACCTAACACAGACCCTGTTGTCTCCCGTCTTGTTGACTGCAGCAGTCTCCTAACTGGTCTCTCTGCTTCCAACTTGACCCTTCCAGATGGTTCTCCCCTAGCAGCCATAGCATTCTTTCTAAAGCATAATAATCCCTTCTCTTCCTCAAGGCTCCCCAAATGCCTTTTGCCTAGCAAAGCTCCCAAAGTCTGCCATATATGGCCCCCTGCTGATGGCTCCAGCCTCATATCTCACCACTCCCTCACCAAACCTAGATGGAATGTCCAGTCCATGCTGTGTTGCTCTTCCTGCCTCCATCTCCCCGCACTTTCCACATGCTCTTAATTACTGAAACACCTTGGCCCTTCCCATCCTCTCACCTCCTCTTTGCATGGCTGATCCGTAGTCAATATCAAGGTCTCAACCTGGGCTTCCCCTCCTCTTTCCTGGCCCCAGTCTAGGGTGGGTACATGCCTTTTATCATCACAGGATATCATGATTGCCTGTTTAGTCATCTGATTCTCATTAGATCATAGACTTGGAGAAGGCAGAAACCACTCCTGTCTTGGAGACTGTTGCATCTGCTGCTCTAAATTACTACTTGTTGAGTTAGCAGTGCTTGATATTTATTGAACAACTGAATATGCTGTGATTCCTTAGTAAGGCTCCACATTCAACATTGTCTTCTCAACTAAAATGAAGCATTTTGGTGATTTCTCCTGAAAAACAGATAGAGTCCCAAACTACCAAAGGTGGGAGAACTTTAGAAGTCCCCAAACTCAAATCTCAGGTGTCAGCTGAACAAACAGAGTACCAAATGGAGTAACAAATGGAGAAGTGAATCACCTGGAGCTGTGAGGAAAATGGCCATGAACATTGCTCTGATGTTATCTGTAGTGATTAGTGGTACCTGCCCATACCCTACACAACCCAGCCTCCAAAGAAACCTGTCTGTTAGCAATTGCAAAGCACGTTCCCACCCATTTCCTCATTTGAGCCAC